ACCTAGTTATTCTATTGTGTATTTGTATGTTTCATACATTGATTGCCTTGTATTTTTATCTGTCTTTCCCAATAGTTTCACCCACCCTGCCTTGTTATTAAAGCTTCAAGATTTCATTCAGTTTGGCTCATTGCAGAATAGGAGGGTTTAGTTGCATGTTGAGTATCACACAGGGAAATGTGTAGTAAGGACAGAGCAATATGCTTTAATTAACTATAGATATCGATATGCTTTAATTGTATATAATAAATATATAGTGCAGCGCCTCCCTACTACTAATCCTAAGCACCTATTGAAAACCTAATCACAAACATAAGTGTATAGAAAAACATCAATATTAAGAAGAAAAGTCCCATATACAAAAGAGAGTCCCATATACAATAGGATCTTTCTTGATGTTCCTCCACCCTTGCACCACTTCATATCCTTATAAATCATAAACCAATGTTCCTCCACCAACACCCAGATTGTGCTCTCACCTGGAGCTTTTTTATCTCACATTTTATAATGTTTTGGTAATAAAGCGCTTGTGTCCTCCTAATGGGATTGATGAAATGAAGATTCCCCAGGTGGTTCTCCTTCTCCCGCAGCAAACTTTAAAGCTTATACCTGACATATAGGCATGACCGCGCAATTGTCATTCAAAGTGTGAGAGCGCTGAAAGCTGAAAATTGGTGTGGGCAGAAAGGGGGTAAAAGTGCCCGGTAGGCAAGTGAGATCAAAAAGCTCCAGGTGAGAGCACGATCTGGGTGTTGGTGGAGGAACATTGGTTTATGATTTATAAGGATGTGAAGTGGTGCAAGGGTGGAGGAATATCAAGAAAGATCCTATTGTATATGGGGCTTTTTCTTTTGTATATGGGACTTTTCTTCTTAATATTGATGTTTTTCTTTAATATTGGTGTTGGTGGAGGAACATTGGTTTATGATCTATGAAGTTGTGAAGCAGTGAAAGAGTGGGGGAGCATCAAGAAAGATCCTGTTGTATATGGGAGTATATCTTTTCTATATGGGCTTTTATTAATATTGATGATTTGGTATACACTTATGTTTGTGATAAGGTTTTCAAGAGGTGCTTAGGGTTAGTAGTAGGATTAGTAGTAGGGAGACGCTGCACTATATATTTATTTTAGAGTTTGTGACACATTAATGAGTGTGTGGAGAGTGTGACTTCAAATTGCGGTTGCTGGGGTTTTTTTGGTTGCTCGTGGGATTAATACACATATATAATGCTTTAATTGCATATTTTGCGCTTTTTCACCAAAGCTATCAATCTAGTTACAATAATAGTTACGTCAACCCTTTACCAGGTATGTCAAACTGGTGTTTTATGGTTCACATGCAGCTTTTTCACTCTTTAAAACAATAAGTGGTTTAAGTCTTGATTCACACTGATGCGGTGTGGAATTGGCAGCGTTTCAATGCAAATTCCGCTCCACATCAGAATCGCACCCCATTCATGCGAACCTCTGCGGGTGTGTATGTTAACAACATCCCAAAAGCGGTCTACAAAACGCAGTGCGATGTGCAGAATTGGATCGCATAGGTGTGAATACCCATGCGATTCGATTCTAGTGCGGACCCAAAAAAAGGTCCTGCACATTTTTGCTGTGGATGTGGTGCATATAGAGCCATACAAAATGTATGGCTCCAATCTCACCGGACACAAATCGCATGTGATTTGCACAGGAATGTAGTGAGATTCCTGTGCGAATCACATGCAATATACCGCACCGCATGTACAGTTGCAAGAAATAGTATGTGAACCCCTTGGGATTACGTGGAGTTTTGCATGAATTGGGCATAAAATGTGCTCTGAACGTCATCTAAGTCACAGCAATAGAAGAACACAGTCTGCTGAACATAATACTACACAAACATTAGATATTGCCATGGTTTAATTGCACATAACATGTAAACATTCACAGTGCAGGGAGGAAAAAGTATGTGAACCTTTGGACTTAATAACTGGTTGACCCTCCTTTGGCAGCAATAACTTCAACCAAACGTTTCCTGTAGTTGCAGATCAGACCTGCACAACGATCTGGAGTAATTTTGGACCACTCCTCTTCACAAAACTGTTTCAGTGTAGCAATATTCTTGGGATGTCTGGTGTGAATCACTCTCTTAAGGTCATGCCACAGCATTTCAATCGGGTTGAGGTCAGGACTCTGACTGGGCCAATCCAGAAGGCGTATTCTGTGCTGTTGCAGCCATTGTTTTGTTGAATTACTTATATGCTTTGGGTCATTGTCCTGTTGCATCACCCATCCTCTGCGGAGCTTCAGTTGGCGGACAGATGGTCGTACGTTTTCCTGCAAAATGTCTTGATAAACTCTGAAATTCATTTTCCCATCAATGACAACAATCCGTCCAGGCCCTGAGGCAGCAAAGCAGCCCCAAACCATGATGCTCCCTCCGCCATGTTTTACAGTGGGGATGAGGTTTTGATGTTGGTGTGCTGTGCCTTTTTTTCTCCACACATAGTGTTGTGTGTTCTTCCCAAACAACTCAATCTTGGTTTCATCTGTCCACAGTATATTTTGCCAGTAGTGCTGTGGAACATCCAGGTGCTCTTTTGCAAACTTCAAACGTGCTGCAATATTCTTTTTGGACAGCAATGGCTTCCTCCGTGGTGTCCTCCCATGTACTCCATTCTTGTTTAATGTTTTCCTTATTGTAGATGTGTCAACAAAAATGTTAGCATGTGCCAGAGATTTCTGTAGGTCTTTTGCTGACACTCTGGGATTCTTCTTTACCTCATGCAGCATTCTGCACTGTGCTCTTGCAGTCATTTTTACTGGACGACCATGCCTAGGGAGAGTAGCAACAGTTGTAAACTTTCTCCATTTGTAGACAGTCTGTCTTACCGTGGACACATGAACATCAAGGCTTTTGGAGATACTTTTGTAACCCTTTCCAGCTTTATGCAAGTCAACAATTCTTGATCGTAGGTCTTCTGAGAGCTCTTTTCTGCGAGGCATGGTTCACATCAGACAGTGCTTCTTGAAACCAGTAAACCCAAAACAGGTGTGTGTTTTTTAAGGGCAGGACAGCTGTCAGCAACACATCCAATATCATCACACTGATTGGAGTCAAGGTTGGCTCACTCCTGGCTCCAATTAGCTCTGGGCGAAGTCATTAAGCTAGGGCCTCACATACTTTTTCCTCCTTGCACTGTGAATGTTTACATGTTATGTGCAATTAAACCACGACAACATCTAATGTTTGTTTAATATTATGTTCAGCAGACTGTGTTCTTCTATTGTTGTGACTTAGATGACGTTCAGAGCACATTTTATGCCCAATTCATGCAAAACTCCACGTAATCCCAAGGGGTTCACATACTTTTTCTTGCAACTGTATGTGAACCCAGGCAAAAGGATAAGTTCACCTTTAGTAAAAAAATTTAATATATTCACATGAATTTGCAAGTAAAAAAATGTGCATTTATTGTATGTTTTTACACTGGAGCCTGTAAAGCATGCAATGTCAGGCTCCTGCATACACTCCTGGCAGTTCTCTTCCCATATTGAAGTGTGGAGCTGCAGAAAGTGTCAGTGAACTATGATGATTGTGATCAGCGATGTCATCTGCACATTCTCCACCTTGGCCAATAAGGGGAGACCTTGTGTTTATTACTTATAATACAAGGCTTCTCCTGAATGGTGGAGAAGCATTTGGCCCAACTCTGTTTAGTTCCAGTAGCAGATGGGAAGTTGCCCGTACTGCTGCAGAACACATTGCCACATACTGCATGTAGCTAATGTTACTACAGTATATTACAGTGCACACGGTGATCGCATCGTTATGTGATGGAAATTGTTGGGCAGGGCCATCTTGGCCCAAACAATCTATTTACAGGTATAATAAACCTGTGCATCTACTTTAAGTATAAAACATAAAATGAATGCTCCCCATCTGATCTCCAGTTGATAAGTTACATTTTTCAGCAAATTATGCAGCTAAATATTTCATTTCCAAAGTACCATAATCTATTTCTGGAATTACGTAGGTGTGGCCCTCTGGAAACATAACTAAGGTTTGGAATTGCTGCTTCCATAGATTTGGGTGAATCCTTGGGATTTGTGGGGTTCATGGATCAGACTGTTGTTGCCTAGAAAATATTTTGCTGATTTGCCTCAAGAAATAAGAAACAACTTCCTTCTATGAACACATGGACTGACAGCAACTATATTGTCAGTGTGTGTTGGAAGTATTATAAAGAGCTGACAATTCTGTGTGGGGGGAATGGAATGCTTTCACTATGTAACCACATCCAGAGACTGCTTATATGGCCTCATGCACACAGGCCACTTACTGCTTCCAAACAGCCCTCCATGTTATCCTATGTGTCCGTGCACACATAGACTTTTAGAAGCTTTTAGTAGCAGTAGTGTTTTACCAGTAGAAAAAAAATCCAGGGACAGTGCATCCAGGGACAGCAGTGTTTTGGTAGAAAAAAAAATGCTTGACACGTGGAAAAACTTCTAAATGCGCGTTAAAGCTAGGCGGTTTAGGGCTGGAGCGTTAATTCATTTTAATGGCCTGAATAAATGACTATTCTGGCCAATTAAATGCATTGATGTCCAAGCACTTGATGCTTGTAAACGTGCCTAAATGGCCTAATGCTTGTAAAAGCGTTATAAAAGCGTTTTTAACACGTCCTGTGTGCATGAGGCCTATATGTGTACATTGTAGAGGCTTTACACAAAGTTACATCTGTAGTTAAATCATTAGTTGGTTGTTTAGTGATAGTTATAAACTATTGTGTCCGGTCATTCCATGGATGTGCTGCCACCTACTGATAACATGAAGAAGGGATATTCTACTTCTTGTTACAGGAAAGATATATTCTCCATCAGTGTGTGTCTTGCACAGTAATACACGGCAGTGTCTTCTATTTTCATGTTGTCCGTTTTCAGAGTCAGCTTGTTATTGTTATTATCTCTGGTGGCTGTGAATCTCCCTTTAACAGCATCATTATAGCTGTACCCCCACCGCTACCAATATAACACAACCATTGTAACTTTCCATCAGATAACTGTCTGATCCATGCCATAGCATAACCACCAAAGGTGAATCCTCCTGAAGCCTGACAGGTCAGTGTATGGGAGTTCCCCGGCTTTATCACGGCTGAATCAGACTGGACAAGTTGGTTAGAAGACAGGACACCTGGAAAATATACAGAGACAATAGGAAATAGTATTAGAACTAATTCACACACTGAGATCTATTAGGAGGATTATGTCATCTGAGGGATCCTGTCCTATGGAGTCTCACCTGACAGCCATGATAATGATATAAGCAGGCCTATTAGGGTCTTCATTATTCCTCTGTTTAATCTGTATGTATACACTTCAGAAATAACCTGTAAAGGGTCTTCTCTATCTTTATAGTGTATGAGAGTGTGAGAGAGATTTCATGGTAGGAAGTGATGTCATGTCATTTGCATAGTATACACAATATCTATATGCTAGCCTTTAGATATTTGATAGACACAGGAAAATAGTCAGGTGTGAGCAATTATTTCAGGTTGGACATCAAAATCACATGACAAATCACACCCCATTCTTCTCAATGCCACCCGTTCAAAATTGGTGCAACTTAACCACTTGAGCTCCTGAGGATTTACCTTAATGACCAGGCCTCTTTTGCTACTCGGCGCTGCACTAATTCAACTGATATTGCGCGGGTCATGCAATGCTGCACCCAAACAAAATTTATGTCCTTTTTTTTTACACAAATAGAGCTTTCTTTCAGTGTAATTTTATCACCTGTGCGCTTTTTATTTTTCATGCTTTAAACAAAAAAATTTTGAAGAAAAACAATATTTTTTACTTTCTGCTATAAAAAAAAATATAGTAAACTCAAAGTTGGTTATAAGATTTTGGCACAAATGTATTCTGCTCCATGTTTTTGGTAAAAAAAAATCCCAATAAGTGTATATTGATTGCTTTGTGTGGAAGTTATAGTGTCTACAATCTATGGTATAAATACTGCAATTTACGCCATTTTTCTGCTATACAGCGCTGCGCTAGTTTAACGGACAATTGCGCGGTCATGCAATACATTACATAAATGAAATTTACATCCTTTTTTTCCCCACAAATTGAGCTTTTGGTGGTATTTGATCGCCTGTGCGGTTTTTATTTTTTTTTGCGCTATAGAAAAAAAGGCTTACAATTTTGAGGGAAAAAAAAAAAAAAAAAAACATATTTGGACTTTTTGCTATAAAACATGTCCAGTAAAAAAAAAATGCAAAAATCAAATTTAGTCATACATTTCTGCCAAAATGCATTCTGCGACATGTCTTTGCTAAAAAAAAAACCCCAATACGTGTAAATTTCATGGTTTACGGAAAGTTATAGCGTTTATGGCAAAGATACTGGGATTTTTCATTTTTATTTATACAATAATGGCGCCGATCAACATATAGCGGCAATCAGCGACATATGGCGGCGACCAGCGACTTATGGCGGGACTCGGCGGACATTTTGACACTGGGGGGGAACTGACTTTTCACTGACATTTGACACCAATTGATCAGTGAAAAAAAAAAACACTGAAACTGTACTAATGTCACTGGGGAGAAGGGGTTAACATTTTTAGAATTTGCTGTGTAAGGGGAGTGTTTTACTAGGGGGCGGGGGTGTGTACTGGACAGGGGGAGGGAGGGGGGGAGCTGATCGAGGGAGAGAAACTCTTCTCTCCCTCTGCAGCTTGTCGGCGAACTGTACAGAGCAGGCTGTGTGTAAACAATGCAGCCCTGCTCTGTGTCAGTGATTAAAGCTCATCGCGGGAAAACGGCTTTGACCCGGCGGCAGAGACCCGCTGCTGACACCTGTTTTGATGTGCTTCTGCCTTCGAACCGTTTATATGCGGTGGCTGGGCGGCATGTGGTTAAAGTTGCAGAGATTTTGGAAAGGTGCCTGCACTGCTTTTCTGCGACTTTGATCCACAGAATGTAAAGTTGGATCAAAATCGCACCACAAGTCACATCAAAGTCATGCTCTTTGGACTTTGGAAACGTGCTAATGTAAATGGAGCCTTAAAGTGTGTTTAACCTTCCTAGCGTATGATTATGTCCATATTTCTGTGCTGAAAGCTGTACATTTTTTTGCATGGAAATATGTTTTTTTTTTTTATTGTAGGCTGTAATTTTTAGGAATAACTCACTGAAATCTGTCTGAACAAGAGTCTAGTAAACATCCCGGGTAGGATAATACTTAAAACACAAAATTATAAATTATAATTTAATAAATAATCATAAAAATAATATAATAATAATAAATTTAATTCAATAATATAATCAAACCAAAACCACTGAAATTTGAAATATAGCGCCAAGTTCGCACATCGCTGAGCAAAGTCACAAAATCGTTTTCAGTGTCTGATGACGAATTTCCCCACAAATCATTATCACTCAAGTGGTTCTGATTTACTATCGCTGTTCTCTAGCCGGTCTAAAACTGCTTGTGACCTAAAGGGATGCTTTTTGGATGCCATGGACTTTTCTAAGTTTCCAGGCAGTCAAAATGCAGGCAGGTACACAAGTCAAAGCAGTAGGGACAAAATGTATGTGAAATGCTTTGAAACAGTAATGTTTTACTATGTCAAATTTATATATTAGAAAATGTCAGTTTCTAAAATTTTTAAATTTGACGCCGGTTCTGGCCCCCATATGTCCCGACGCTCGCAGGGACCGGAACACGGAATCCAGATGCCGGCATCGGCCAGAGGAGATGGCCGGGGACGCTGCAGGGGACGCATCGCGGGAGTGAAGGACAAGGTAAGCGCTGCAGGGAATCTCTGAGCAACGCCGCATGGTAAGCCCGAGTGTAGCTCGGGGTTACCGCTTTTGGTACTGAAACTTTACCCCGAGCTACACTCGGGAATACCGCCAGGGAAGTTAACCACTTGCCTACCGAGGACTTATACCCCCTTCCTTCCCAGGCTAATTTTCAGCTTTCAGTTCTGTCGCACTTTGAATATTTGTTGCACAGTCATGCAACACTGCACCCATAGAAAATGTTTATTATTTTTTTGAGACAAATAGAGCTTTTTTATGTTGGTATTTATTTACCAGGGTAAATGTTTTATGTTTTACTAAACAAACTAAAAAAAATGAAATTTTTTTTAAAAAAACATGTTTTTCTTAGTTTCTGTTAAAAAAAATAAGTCATTTTTCTCCAAATAAGTCACTGATTTTTAGTCTCCTTAGGTACACTGATGGGCACTGTGCGCTGATGAGGGCTGCACTGATGGGCTGCACTGGGGCACTAGGTGGCACTGATTGGCACTGATAGGCGGCAATTATTGGCACTGATAGGTGGCAGGTGGCACTGAAGGCGGCATTTGACAGGCATCACTGATGGGCACTGAAAGGCAGCACTCATTTATGGAACTAATAGGTGGCAGTGATGGGCACTGATAGGTGGCACTAACTGGCACTTATAAGTCGAACTGACGGCACTTATAGGCAGCACTGACTGGCACTGATAGGTGGCACTTATTGGTGGCACTGATAGGCGCCACTAACTGGCACTGATAGGTGGCACTGAAAGGCATCTCTGATGGGCACTGATATGTGGCATTGATGGGCACTGACAGGTGGATTTTATGGGCACTGAAAGACAGCACTGATGGGGCTGCACTGATCATCAGGGCACTGATGATCAGTGCCCTGATTATCAGTGTAGATGTACCTTCTGAGAAATGCTGCTTACCGGCTCTCCTCTCCTCACATGCTGTCAGGATGAGGAAAGGAGAGCCGATAAACGGCATTTCCTATAAGACTGTGATATATGCTGTGATATGGACACAGCTGATCACAGCAGGCCACATGACAGTTGTATACAATGGATGGCTTCCTTTCCCAGGCCATTTATTGTATACATGTTGTAGCCTTGAACCTTGGACACAGCGATGACACATGCACAGCTCTGGGCCAATCACAGCCCAATTTTTGTCATGATGTCACCAGTCAGTGTCCAAATCACAGCCAGCCAAAAAAAAAAAAGCCCTGAATGAATCGATGTCATTCAGTAAAAAAAGCTTGCTGATAGCAAAGTAATTCTTTGCTATAAGCAAATTGTGTAAAAAAAAAAAAAAAACTGATCACTTCCCTTATGAAGTAGTACAATGTTACTATGGTAACATTGTACTACTTTGGTCATAGTGTAATATGAAAAACAAATCTCAAAAAAATCTGTAATAAATGTAATAAAAATCAAAAAACAGATATATCCTATAGCTTGTGAACTCTATAACTTTCCTACAGACTAAATAATAAATACTGATTTGGGTTAATTTCACCAAAGAAATGTAGCAGAATACATATTGGCCTAAATTTATGAAGAACAATTATTTATTTGCAAAACTTTTATAACAGAAACAAAGAAACGTGATTTTTTTTCAACATTTTTGGTCCTTTTTTGTTAATTTAGCAAACAATAAAAACCCCAGTGGTGATTAAATACCACCAAAAGAAAACTCTAGTTGTGTGAACAAAATGATAAAATTTTAGTTTGGGTACAGTGTTGTATGACCACGCAATTGTCATTCAAAGTGTAAGAGCGCTGAAACCTGAAAATTGACCTGGGCAGGAAGGGGTAAAAGTGCCCGGTATGGAAGTGTGGTTAACTATCCCCAGCCGCACTACACCCGTTCGGGGACAAATTCACCACTCTGCCGATAAGTCCATGGTACCACCTCCCAGATAACACACAATGAACTGGGATCCAACGGACGACTGCATACCTTAGACGGGTCCCTACTATGAACTGTTACTGCAAGTTTTAATATCTCCGAAGACCCCAAACCGCAAATACCTTAAACCAGCACAAAACATATCCAAACCAGGGCAGGAGGGTGGGAATTCTGATGGCTCCGACTGCTTTGCTGCTGTTCCAAATCCCACCCCATCTACTCCGGCTTTCGACCCACCCACATGCTACATTCTAGCCAACCAGATAAGTACCCATCCTTCCTATGTTAACACCAACTTTCTAATATATCATATTCCCCCTGTCCCCCTAGTCATGTAGCCCTACGCTCTTTTTTTTTTTTTTGCTTCAGTCCTGTCTGAACTGGAATAAGCATGGGAGGATGGGAGTTCAGACTTCACTGGTTTGCATGTTTGTTCCAGGCTATTGACTTAAATTGGGATCATAAGAACAAACTTAATAACAGTTTTTTAGGATGGCAACA